GACTGAATTAACACTTCTAATAATAATAATAAGTTTGGGGGGAAAGGCATAGATATCATATAGTAAAAAAAAAAAAAAAAAAGAGATAAATAAGTACAATACAATATAATAAAAGGGAAAACCAGACAGGCTTCTCTAGTGTTAGAAAGTGCATCACCCAGGAGGCCCTACAGAACATCCAACGGACCCAGAGATCCTGCTATCTTGGACTTTAGGTACCACTTCGTATATTGGAATAGCGACATTAGATCTTTTAATTGGCCCAGTGGTAACTCCGCCAAAAGGAATGTGGACCAGGTGTTGAAAAATTTGGACGTGTGCTCATGTGTGGCTTGGGCCTCTAATTTGTCAAGTGACATCAATTTGTGAAGGAGGTCTTTCAAAGAGACTAAGGAAGGAGGGGAGGGTATGAGCCAGTTTATCAAAATGGTCTTCTTCGCCGTCAACAGACATAGATGCTCCCATCCAAAGAGGCATCTTGAGGAGCCCGTGGAGGCTGTGGAGATGGACGTGGGCAGAGAATGGAATAGACATGTGACCGGTGTGTTTGACCTCAGGGTCCCTGCATGAGCGGACATATAAGACAGGACCGTAGACCAGAAATGTTGAATCTTGGGGGCACAGCCACATTAAGTGGTCCAGATCGGGGTACTGGGCATGGCACTTAGGGCAGGCAGTTAGCCAGTGCGAGGGAGTACACGTGTATCTCAAATTGAAAGCATAGAATGCTCTGTGAATTAATTTGAATTGAATCTCCCTCCATGTTTCGGAAATGATAGCCTTCCTAAGCGAGAGCCATCCGTCGAGTAGCAAATGGTCTGTTTCCTCCACCGGTAACTGGAGGAACCTCGCCCATCTATGGTTGGGAAACACGGAGGGGGGGGGGGTCATGGCATATAGATGTCCTGATGTCCGCCAAAATTGATGAGTAGGGGTATTGTCTGCATGGGATACAATAATCGCGCAAAGCTGATCATGCGTATCAAGTGACACCTTCCCAGTATGGACAAAGGGAGGTCTCGCCACTTTTGTAGTTCTTGTGTGATTTTCCTAAACAAGGGGACATAGTTTAATTGGTATAAGTCCGTGGCTCTACTGGATAAATTAATACCTAAATAGGTGATGGATCGTCTTTGGA